TCAAGATGTTAGTTCCTCCCAACTTCATAGATTCAATGCAATCCTAATCAAAATCTTAGCAAGTTATTTTGTGGGTATTGACAAGCTGATTTTAAAGTTTATATGGAAAGGCAAAAGACTCAGAATCTCCAGCACAATATAGGAGAAGAACCAGGTTGGAGGATTGACACTACCCTCAAGACTTACTAAAACTACAGTATTCAAAACAGTGTGGTTTTGGCAAAAGAACTGACAATAGACCCATGAAATATAATAGAGACTCAGAAATAAATATACATGAATATAATCAACTGAACTTTGCAAAGGGAGCAAAAGCAGCACAATGGAACACAGACAGCCTTTTCAATAAACAGCACTGAAACCACTGGACATCCACATGCAAGAAAAAGATCATTAAGACACAGACTTTCTACCCTTCAAAACAATTAATTCAAGTTGGATCAAAGACTTAATTGTAAAACATAAAATTATGAATTCCTAGAAGATGACGTAAAAAAAAATCTAGGTGACCATAGATATGGCGATGATTTTTATCTTTTATTTATTCATTTTCCCTGAATCAACAGATGTCTTTTATTGCATCATTAAAATATTGTAAACAGGTTTCAGCAATAATCTGGTGTCCTGTTTCTGTAGCTGAACAACTCTTAAGTCTTATTCATCAGCCTCCTGAACTTTTCCTTTTTCAGAAACACAGATACCATCAAAAAATTTTCTGATATCCTCAATTTTAACTGTTGTTGCTTGCTGAATCAAAGCAACTAAGTTTGAAACAATCTCAATGTTGTTTCCTTCAAAGATTAAATATCTGGGCTTGAAATACTAAATAAGCAACACTTAGCTTCATCCAAAACTAGTGGATGTGTTTTTCACCCAAGAAATTTGAGATTTCAACAAGAGACCTATTGTCTTAGATAATGACATTGATGGGGAAATGAGCGCACACAGACCTCGTCTTGCAGCAAAGGACATATCTGATAAAGGACTGTTGTCCAAAATACCACAAAGAATTCTTTAAACTTAACAATAAGAAGAAAAACTAAAAAATGGGCTCAAGACTTTAATAGACACCTCACCAAAGACATACAACTGGCAAGTAAGCATATGAAGAGATGTTCCACATTATATGTCATCAGGGAAATGCAAATTAAAACAACAAAATATTATCACGTAACTATTAGAATGGCCAAAATCCAGAATATTGATATGCTAAATATTGGCAAGAATGTGAATAAACAGGGACTCTTCTTCATTGTTGATGGATGCAGATGCAAATGATACAGTCACTTTGGAAGACATTTTGGCCATTTCTTACAAAACTAAACATTCTCTTATGTTGCCGTAAGGGTCTTGTGGAAAAGCAATGTCACAGCAATAAGCATGCTTATTGAAATTGTGTTTTAAATAAAGGTGACCATCTGCTTGCTCAGGCAAGCTTCTTTATTTGCGGTTGGGTTTATATAGGGAAATTTTTGTACATGCGCACAATACAGCAATGATCTCACTGATCCATTTAAACATCATGTGACAACCTTGTGATTAGCTTCTGATAATCCACTCAACATACACCTTTTGACAAACCCTTTCAACATAACCCAATCTGACATAACTTAATGGAGAAAATGTTGTTAGGCATTACTTCTTTGTTCTTATCTGATGCTCCCTGAGGCTATGGAGGAACAAGGTAGATTGAGTACCTGCCCTTGCTGGCCTTGCCATTTGGAGGCTGTTACTTCCAATCTTTGAACAAGGCATAAAGAAAATTCTTGGGCATACAGGAATTTGTGTGCAAACCTCTGCTCCCATGTAGGCCTTAAGTTAGGAGGTTTTTGCTGGAATCTTTTATAAGGAATTTTCAGGCTAGACTTCTCAAAAGCCTTTCACAAGCCCAGGTTTCATCTGTGCCATTAGATACCCGTATGCATTGGGTAAATTCCTCTTCTCTTAAGGTCCCTGAGCACATTTCCATTTCCAGACCCATCAGCAAGCGACTTCATTACTTACCCCATATCAGGAAAGGTTACTGATGGGTATATGGCCAGTTTTCCAAAGGGCTTTTTTATTGACCTTATAAAGTCAACCTTAATTCCTTAATGCAGTAAATGCTATTCCAGCCAAAGCCTTGGTCATGTTAGGCTCACAACCAACCTGGCCACTTGGGATTCTGCCTCAGTTTCTTATAAGTGTGCCTGAACAAAGTCTTTTCACTGCTCTCTCTCAAACGGCTTTTTTGGCCAGAGGCTTATAGGCGTTTCACCTATATTCTTACTGTATGATCCAGTAGTCATGTTCCAACATTTACCCAAAGGAATCTGAAACTTACATCCACAAAACCCCCTGCACATAGAAGTTTATAGCAGCTTGATTCATGATTGCAAAAATTTGGAAGCAACAAAAAAGGATCTTCAGTAGGTAAATGGAAACATAAACTAAGGTACATCCTGACAAGGGAATAGTATTCATTGCTAAATAGCAATGAGCTATAAAAATATGAAAAGACACAGAGGAACCTTAAATATTTATTACAAAGTCAAAGAAGCCAATCTGAAAAGAGTACATGCTATATGAGTCCAGCTGTATGAGATTTTAGAAAAGACAAAACTATGGAGGCAGTAAAAAGATCAGTAGTTACCAGAAGGTTCATGGGGTAATGGGCAGGATGAAAAGTCAGAGCAAGCAAGATTTTTAGGGTGATGAAAATACTCTATGTGATACTATAATGATGGACACATGTCATTATACATTTGTTCAAACCCATATGTATGACACCAAGAGTGAACCCTTATAAAACTCTGGACTTTGGGTGATAATGATGCATCAGTGTAGGTCCACTGATGATAACAAATGTCCCACTCTGGTAGGAGGCACTGATAATGTGGGAGGCTGTGCATGTGTTGGGACAGGAGGTATATGGCAAATCTTTGAAGATTTACCTTCTGATCAATTTTGTTATGAAACAAAAACTGCCTTACAAAAACACTCTTTTTGAAACAGCTGTTTGTACCTCTTGCTCTCCCAACTACCATCTGTTTCTATACCTGTTTCAGGTTGTTTGTTTGGGACTTAGTTCCTCTTCTGCTCTGACTTGTTGAGAAATATGATCCACCAGATGTAAATGAGTGGGCTGTGGGAATTAGAGTGAATATCTGTGCAATCTGTCTGAATCTTGTAATTCACACTCCAAAGGACAGTCCAAGGCAACATTGAACCCCATGGGGGTTGCTCCTTAACTAACAAGTGGGGCAGCCAAGGTGACAATACCCAAGGATACCAAAAATATAACACAAATAAGTGCCTATATTTATAAGGATGCCACTGAATAATAAAAGTGAATTTATTTCTGGATTACTTAACGATCATGAAAGGGAAACATTAATTCTCGTGTTATAAAAACAGTAGTAAAATACAGTACACCAGAATGCCATTTGAATGACAATGACAAACGTGTAACAGCCAATGAAAAATAGTAACCTTTAACTTTAGATATAAAGGTAAAGCAATTTAATAAGAAATTTTGTTAATAAGAAAAATATATGTCCCATGTCTTTATTACATACTGTACAAAATAAAATATTGCACCTTTACTTCATATAATAAATATATACAAAGAGTAATTTACAAATGATCTTTCTTTTAATTTAATAACCAACAATCAAATGTGATTGACCATTAACAACTCATGGGCTGGTGTGTCCTCTTCACCTTCTTCTATCCATCCCTAGCCACCAAACCCCCCCACATACAGTAGTGCTCATCCCAGTGTCAGTGAGGCTGAAGTTAGAACAGCACAGACCTGGTGCCCAGAATGTTGTAGAGGAACTCAGCAGGCTTGCCCACAGACAAAGCCAAAGCCACAATGTACCATTTACTTATACTGACCAGGGACCAGGTCCAGCACAACCTGCTGCAGGTAACTGTGGCTGACAAGGCTGTAGGCCACATACATGTATGCAGGCAGCTGGGACACAGAATAAAGAATTACGACCACTTATTTTGGGTTGTGTGTCATCTAAAATCATCACTAGGATATAAGAGAAAGAGCCCATAACCAAATCAGCTCTACAACTGAAAATTTAATGACAGTCTGAACCTACTTCAGCAACAACATTTACTCCAAACTTAACTTTCACTCTGACACTGTCACTAACACCAGCATTGGCCCCAGTCTAAAGCCAACTCAATCCTGACCTCAACTGGCCCTATCCCTAACCCCTAAAGCCAACTCTAGCTTAACACTAACTTAACTCCTTTTCTCACCTCACCCAGTCCTAGCTCTAATCCTAAAACTAAAACTAACCTTTGCCCTTTTCTCTAAATCCTAAACCAAATCCTAACTCTAACCTGAACAGTGTAACTTCTAGCCTAACCTAATTCACTTTGGATTTGCTGAAAAATTGCTCAAATTAAAGCATTTATTTACTATAAACAATTCTTTTTGACTATCATGTTTCTTATTTAGATTACTTTCTTATAAATTTTCCAAAATAAAAATCCTCAGGATACCATTCTATGCATAAATTAGGTCTAATAAGGCTTTGATATTTCTGCTTGTGTGCAACAGAATAGTGCTTTAAAACAAGATTCATTCACAGTTCTTAAAAAGAAAGCTTTGAATATATGTGTACTTTGAAATCAGTAGAAAAGGGTAACTTTCCCTCTTTGACTTCCAAGATGTCTCACTTGGTCACAGATTTCTGTAGTTGTGAAATTGGCAGCAATATCTACTGTGTGTTTTCTTCCATGGGAGCTCTAAAGGCAAGGACAAGATGCTATTACCCATGAATCTGTGGTCAGTCAGTGCCACAAGCCTGTCCAGAGACACTGTCTCTTTTTCACAGACTAAACTTAAGGATCTATGAAAATGTCACTAGCACCAACATCTTAACTGGCCAGAGCTTCTAAAATGTAAATACCTTAAAACCTATAGAAACCCTACAACTTGAAAGTCATCAGCTGTTGTGTTTCCCAGGTCTTCAGGCTGTACCACTCAGCGCTAGTCCACAAACCACAGGAAAGAGCTAGCACATGTTGGTGCCCTGTGACCCTGGGGATTTCCTGATTAGACAGACTTGATGAGGACATGCAATGGCAGGTACATTATGGTATTTTTGTTAATCCTAGAATGCAGCAATTTTAAAAATTGGAATTAAAAATTGACCATGGGAAAATTTTGCTTTACAAAATTTTAACAGTGGTGTTTTTGTATCAACCCCTCTTTGATCATAGAATCTAGAGTCTTTTAAGAAATACATATATATTCTGAACCAGCGACATGCGGAGAAGAGCTTTGGCATTTTCCTTTTATCTTCACAGCAGCATCATGACCCCTCCAGAGGTTTATCCTTCTCGACATGACTGACAGCACCTTTGTCTGTAGAGGGGCAGTGAGCACAAATTAAGGCGCTTCACAGACATGCAGTAGTGTGTTGTATCTGTGCAATCTCCTGCCAGAAAGAAAAAAATCCATGGCTCACAGCTCATTAGAGTTCCTCTATACTAAAAAGTCACTTGAGTTTATGAAACCACATACATGTGCCTTTGGTTGAAGTTATTGCTTTGCCTTAGAGTCAGAGGTGCATTAGACCCTTCCCAGCTCAGCCAAGTGGCCTGGTGCTGCTCTCTGGGGACCTCCCTGCCCCTTTGGCCCATCTCCCCCTCTCAGTGCTCAGAGCAGCAATGCTTAGCTTTTGCAGGGTCAGGTACCCCTTGGAAGACTTATGAAAGTGATGGACCTGCTCCCTGAAATTCATCTCTACATAACTTTCAGGACCTTTCCATACCTGCACAAGCCCATTCATGGACTCTGTCTTGGCAGATGAGACTACCAGACAGAAGAGAAGTGTGTGAAGAGAAGGGGAAGGCAGCCCCTAATGCCAGCACCCTACTAATTTAACTGCATCTTCTCTAGAGAACACAGTTGTACCCACACAAAGGAGCTAATCCCATAATGTCCCAAGTATCCATTCTGAATGGCCCTTCAGATGAAACCCTGATAAGGCAGGCACCATTAGGGTCTGATGTGGTAATGATGCCACCACAACATCCAACACCATCAAGGCCTCTAGAGCAGTGGTGATACCTGAGAGGGGTACATACTATCACAGGAAGGCCCCAGACAGTGCCGCCAGGAAGCTGGTTTCTTTTTCTGCACACAGTGTCTCTCAGCCACAGGCGTACAGCTCCTTGTGTGCAGACAGTCAACTTTCCGAGACTGGAAGCCCCTGCCACAGGCTGCTGTACAGGGCCTCCAGGGGCCCGCACGCCAACAGGTATCACAGGCCCCTGACGCACAGTTCCTCCGTAAGGTGGGTCTGAAAGGAAATAAAGTGGATCACAGGAGAGGCAGGGTGTCACTTCTTGTGAGACCAAGCCTTTTACCTATTATACATTCTATGTACTAAAGGTTTGATAGTTAGGGCCCTAATCATCACTGATTTGCACAGTTCATTTTTGGCTAAGCAAAGTAATGGTCCAATCATGTTAGAACTAATTGAATTACTTCATATTGCAGTCGACTTTCAAGCCATTGAGAATAACCCTGTAGTCCATGAAAGTTAGCCCCAGATGTATTAGGAGGGTTCTGGAAACTGTCACAGATGCATGATTGGCAAAGAAGGGAGAAGACCTGTTTTAGAAAAATTCAATTCAATAAATATTTAAGAATTTTCATGTGTGAGGCACATGAGTGTGAGAAAGTAGAAATGGGTGAATTATACCCCTAGTGTCAAAAAAGTTCAAAAATATATGGTAAGAATCAACCAGTGACCAATTTCATACAGTATGAGTCAGGCTAAAGTCACTGCCACTAAGAGAAGGGCCAATAGTGAGAGCTCACACTCAAAGTGCACATGAGGAAAATCAAGGGGAAGGTGCAGGTTGAATTGTGCAAATGTATCGTGGTTACTGGGAAAGGCTTTGGTGTACTGTAAGACATCATAGTCTCAGACTCTTTTGTCTAAAACCAAGATATCCCCCTCTTCTATGCTGTACTGTCTAGAAGGACAGTGAGGACATTCCTCACTGCCTGGAGCTGATGGTCTCTGCTTAGATGTCCTCTGATGAGGAAGGTGTGGCAAGCCAACCAAGTGTCTCCATGGATTCCCAAAGTCAAGTCAAAGCACACACAGCAAAAGATATGTTCTGATCAATTTAGGCAAGGAAGGGAATTATTTACTATAATGGTCTATAATAAGCACTTGAAACATATTCTGTAACAAGTATGAATTTATATGTGAGCAATCTAGTCTGCTAAAACAGGTGCTCTTACATTTATATTTAGGGAACATCAAGACTTGTAGTCAGGAACTATCAAGTCTCTCTGATTGTTTTGCTCTTTAAAATAGAGCAGAAAAGTAATAACCTCCAAATTTTGAAAAGATATTTACTTTGAAGGACAGAGTCACCTTAGTGGACCCATTTTGGGGTATCTGTCCTTGTTATTGAGGGCAGGGCTTCTGGAAGATATATTCTTATTGCATGAGAATGTGTCCCCAGCCCCAAAGAGGAATTGAAGAGGGCCCTCACTTAAGAGGGTTCAACAGTTGTCTTTCTCTTAGGAATTTGATGGTCATGGGAACAAGACACGTCACCCTGAAGTTGGGAGCAGTAGTGGCCACGTTCTGCCACATGGGCCAGAGAGATAGGAAAGGAAAGCAAGTTTTCAGAAAGAGCAAGGAATGAAGCAGGAACCCACAGAGCCACAGAGGTGAGGAGAGAGAAGGGAGAACCAGTCACTCCCACTCTTGGTTCTAGTCCTTCTGGACATCTAACCGCATTCTCCCTTTGGATTCTATGAGATGTTTTAGTAATATTGTTAAAACCCCCTACTCAAAGTCTTTTACGGAGAAGAAAGTAAATGTATAAGATAATAAATGTATGGGATTTATGAGTAATGTTGGCTCTGAACTTTTGAAAACTTAGTTAACAAAATTTTGGATCAATAGAAAAAAAAGCATGAATTTGAAATCTCTGAATGCCTTGGTTCTCAGTATTATCATTTTTTTATTGAATTTATTGCTTATTAAATTATTTAGTTTTTCAAAGTCTCCTTTTAAGTGTGCATACATGTATAAGGCATTTGGAACACCTGATTTATTTTCACAATTGAAAATATTGTGATAATTGGTAACTTTTCTAAGGGAGAGTATTACACATACTGTGTAATACACAGTTGCAATACTGAGATTAAGCAGTAGGGGGAGACCCCCATCAAAAGGTTTGCTTAAACAATACTGTCCCACCAAACCGTTTATAAGGTTAATGAGGTAGAGGGGTGCCCTGTTAACTGATTTAGTTTCCCCCCGTGGATTTGAATCTAAGAGACCAAAAGTTGAATTGATTTGAATAACAGAGCAAAGCCTGAGTACTGCTCAGCTACCTCCCTATATGGAGATCAGCTTTTCTACTGAAGAACACTGAACAAATATTCAAAAAATATATTTAAAAGGATATCAAATGTGTTGGGTGGTCTTGTCTCATTAAGTCCCTTGTTGTCTTTGCATAAATCATTCCAAGTTGACTTTTGTTTTCAGCCCAAAGGGCTGTAATATATCCACTTCTGTTCAATGGAAGGTAGGGCTCAGCGGGAAGTCAGGAGGAACCCCTAAGCTTCCTAAATACAAAGAATGAGAAGGGAACAGGGACCTGTAGACAAAAACAGAACTGAAGTCCAGAACATCTCAGAGGCGGCAATTGAGAACATATTAAAAAAAAACCCAACCAGGCTTGGTGCCAGTAGCACAGTTGTTATGGCACTGGCCACATACAACAAGGCTGGTGGGTTTGAACACAGCTCAGACCTGCTAAATAACAACAACTGCAACAAAAAAATAGCCAGGTGTTGTGGTGGGTGCCTACAGTCCCAGCTACTTGGGAAGCTGAAGCAAGAGAATTGTTTAAGCCCAAGAGTTGAGGCTGCTGTGAGCTGTGATGCTACAGCACTCTACCAAGGGTAACACAGTGAGACTCTGTCTCAAAATAAATACATAAACAAAATGAGAAGATAAAAATAAATTAAAAAACCCAAACAAACAAACAAACCCACAAAAGCAAGGCTGGTCCAGCAGAGGACATTGGCAAAGGCAGGACTCAGGATAGGGACACCTGAGCCCATGTATAAAACTGAACACCAGCAAGCACTATGCACACAACTGGGGCTCAGGTGTTTTACTCCATGGAACATGGATGTAGAAATGGTAGCAGAAATCAAAGTCACTCTGTTTTTAACTAGCTTTCTCAACTTCTCATTTCTATTCATTCTGCCCCACTCTTGCCTCAAATAACTCCTTTTACCACAGTCAGATGGAAGAACTAATTCTGAGGACAAGAGATCACAGGCCTGGTTGGTTAGCAGAAGCAGACAGAAGGGGGTAGTTTTCAAAAGATGCAGATTGCCAGGTAATTTCCTAAAGGTTCTGACTGATAAAGTCTGAGGTAAGTCCCAAGACTCTTTATTTTGCAGAAATTTCCTAGGCGATTCTGACTCTGAGCTGAAGTTAGAAGCAAACTTTGGAAGCAAACTTTCTGCATCCTCAGCATTTCCTCAGGTACCCATGTTGTCATCTTGCCATAAGTCTGGCTAGCTCTACCCTGATAATCCCCATGCCTTCTATGACCTTTCAGTGGTGGCCATACCTCTTCCCAGGGTCTAGAGAAGAATGTCCAGCTGATAGTCGGCTTACCTCTGGTCCTGCACCCACAGCCATGAATGGCTGGACCCCTTTAAACACCCTCTAACTGAGGCCCTGCTATGGCAACAGGGGGGTAGAGGTGTTCTCATTGCTCTAAGGGAAGATCTAACACCTCACCTACCTATAGGACCCCACAGTCAGATTGCTGATTCAGCAGAAGAGGTCCTTGTAGGAAACGGGGTTAAAATACTGCAAAAGAAACCCTCAACAGCTCTCACTACTAACCAACTTAGTCCTTTATCCACGAACTACCAGTTATTTGAGGAAAAATAACCATATGAAAGAAAAGCAGCAGGTCATAAAAACAGAACAGCTTGCAAACCTGGAGGAAACAGAAATAAAAGAGAAATGCTCACTTGATTCCTTCAGGGGTGTCCAACTTGCAGGGCATGGCCATGTGCTGATTTTGTGAGGATTGTTTTTGTTTATCTGTGATGATGGATATCATGAAAAGTATGCACAGGACTTTTTGGTTTTTTGGCTAATCAGCTTTGCTTAATATTGGCGTATTTAATGTGTGGCTCAAGACAACTCTTCTTCTTCCAATGTGCAGCAGAAAAGAAAAAAGGTTGGACACTTCTGCTAGCTTTAGAAATTTTTCTCCTATTATTTTAAAGAAATTTCTACCTTTTCATTTTACTCCCACATCTCATTGCCTAAAACCCCATTTAATCAGATTTTGAACCCTTTGGTAGGTTCTTCCACACCTCTTCTCTTCTCTTTTTCATTTTCTGTGTATTTTTGCAGCTTTCCATTAGAGAGTGCGTGGCATAGCCAAGGAACGAAAAGCACGATGTAGCTGGAACATGAAAAGCAGGAGTCTGAGGTTTTGGATGAGGCTGTGTAGGGAAGTGGGACTTGAGCATGTGGCATTTTACAAAACACATTAAAGATTTTGGTCAGTCTTCCTAATATTAAGAGATTTTTAGTCCACCATGAGTTGTGGGGGTGGTATGATCAGATTTGCCTTTGGTAACATGCACTCCAGCTTCAGTGTGGAGATGGGGTTGCAAAGGAGCATGGATGGATGGCTGTGGCACTGGACCAGGTGAGAGATGACACCAGCCTGGCCAAAGGGAATGGCAGCAGAAAGGGAAAAAAGTAAATGAGTTCAAGAAAAAAAAAATACAAAGATTCATAAAGAATGTAAAAAGTAATCAGAAAAGGATAAAATTATAATGAGGATAATTATTATGGCATTAATGGCTAATTTTTTATCCATCATATTGGCAAAATTTTTAAAAGACCTGTACAGTGTTGATACAAAGGGGACAATTTGCACAGATTTTGATGGTAATTTGGTAGTATCAAAATGAGCATGCCTACCAATTCAATTCCACATCTGAAAATCTATCCTGTAAAAATATTACCCTTTGTACACAGATATAAGTTCCAGGATGTTTACTACAGCATTTGTCCGTAATAGTAAAAAATTAAAGTAATCAAGTATCTAAATATCAAACAATCTGAATATCAAATATCCACTACTGGGGCAGTGCCTTTGGCTCAGTGAGTAGGGCGCCAGCCCCATATACCAAGAGTGGCGGGTTCAAAGCCGGCCTTGGCCAAACTGCAACAAAAAAATAGTCAGGCATTCTGGTGGGTTTCTGTAGTCCCAGCTACTCAGGAGGCTGAGACAAGAGAATTGTCTAAGCCCAAGAGCTGGAGGTTGCTGTGAGCTGTGATGTCATGGCACTCTACCAAGGGCAATAAAGTGACACTTTGTCTCTAAAAAAAAAAAAAAAAAAAAAAAATCCACTACTGAATAGCAGAATATTAAGTACAATGTTACTTAAAAGATTAGAAAGATTAGAAAGAATAAAGTTTACTTTTACCAGAAGAGAAAAGTCTATAATGTATTCCCTTTTTAGGTTTTTTTGGGGGGTTTGAGACAGGGTCTCACTTTGTGCCCTAGGTAGAGTGACATGGCGTCACAGCTCACAGCAACCTCAAACTCGTGCACTCAAATGATCCTCTTGCTTCAGCCTTTCAAGTAGCTGGGACTATAGGCACGCATCACAACACCTGGGTAATTATTCTATTTTTAGTAGAGACAGTGTCTTGCTCTTGCTCAGGCTGCTCTCAAACTCCTGAGCTCAGGCAATATACCTGCCTGGGCTCCTCAGAGTGCTAGGATCACAGGTCTGAACCACTGCACCTGTCTTTTATTTGTTATTGTTCTGGTAGATCTTTTAATATATATTTATATACATGGATTTCAGTGGGTGCAATGTTTTAAAATGTATAACAAACATTTTATTTGACAAATTTCTGAGTTTTGCATATATTTATTTCAAAATATTAAGGGGTACATGTGTTTCTGTTATATGGATCCTTGTATAATGCTTAAATCACAGCTTTTGGTGTGCCTGTCACCAGTGTTTTCTATACACAATAGGTAGTTTTTACCTCCTCATCCCCCTGCCATGTGTGCCCTTCCTGGTTTCTATGTCCTTTACATCTCTTTGTGCCTGTGTGTATCCATCATTTAGCTCCTACTTAGTAGTGAGAACATATGGTATTTGGTTTTCCATTCTGGAGATACTTCACTTAGGATAATGGTCTCCAGCTGCATCTAAGTTGCTCCAAACAACATCATTTCATTCCTTTTTATGGCTCTGTAGTACTCAATGGTATACATATAGCACTATTGCTTTATTTACTTGTGAACTGAGGAATATTTAGGGTGATTCCATATCTTTTGTAATTGGGAACTGTGTTGTGATAAACATTCAAGTGCAGGTGTCTTTTTTTTTATAAAGTGACTTCCTTTCCTTTGGGTAGATATGCAGCAGTCAGACTGTTGGACTGAATAGTGTGGAGATTTTTGAGGAATTTCCATACCGTTTTCCCTAGAGGTTATGTGTACTAATTTTCTGTCCCACTAACAGCATATGAACATTCCTTTCTCTCTGCATCCTTTTTTTCACTTTAGTATTTTGTACTGCCATTCTGATTGGGGTAAGGTGGTATCTCATTGTAGTTTAATTTGAATTTCCCTGATGATTAGGATGTTGAACATTTTTTCATGTTTCTTGGGCCATTCGTCTATCTTCTTTTGAAAAACTTCCATTCATGTCTTCTGCCCACTCTTGATTTGTCTTTTTCTTGCTGATTTTTTTTTTTTTTTTTGTAGATTCTGGATATTAGTCCTTTATCAGCTGTATAGTTTGCAAATATTCTCTTTCATAGTGTAGGTTGTCTATTCACTTTGTCAATTGTTTTCTTTCCTGTGTAGAAGTTTTTAGTTTAATTAAGTTCCGTTTATTTATTCTTATTGCTGTATTTGCCTTTGGGGTCTTAATCATAAATTCTTTGCCTAGGTTGATGTCTAGAATAGTTTTTCCTATGTTTTCTTCTAGAATTTTTATGGTTTTATGCCTTCCATTGAAGTCTTTTATCCATCTTGAATTAGTTTTTATCAATTGAGAAAGATAGGCATCCTATTTCATTCTTCTGCTTATAGCTAGCCTGTTTTCTCAGCATATTTATTGAATAGGGTTTGCTTTCTCCAGTGTATATTACCTGCTTTATTGATGATCAGTTGGTCATAGCTACATGGTTTTATATCTGGGTTCTCTACTCTGTTCTCTTGGTCTACCTCTGTACTTTTATTCCAGTGCCATGCTGTTTTATTTACTGCAGCCTTGTAGTATAATTTGAAATCAAATAATGTGATGCCTCTTTTGTTTAAAGATTGTTTTGTTTATATGAACTCTTTTTTTAAATTAATCATAGCTGTGTACATTAATGCAATCATGGGGTACAATGTGCTGGTTTTATATATAATTTGAAATATTTTCATCATGTTTCAAATGAAACTTAGGATTATTTTTTCTAGATCTATGAAATATGACCTTAATATTGTGATGGAGATAGAGTTGACTCTGTAAATCAGTTTGGGAAGTATGGACATTTTGAAGGTGTTGAATTTGCCAATCCATGAGCAAGAGTATTTTTCCATTTGTTTGTGTCATCTATTTCTTTCATGAATGTTTTATAGTTCTCCTTGTAGAGGTCTTCCCCCTCTGTAAAGTACGTTCATAGGTATTTTATTTTCTTTGTAGCTGTTGTGAATGGTATTGAGTCCTTTATTTGATTCTCAGCTTGACTATTATTAGTATAGAGAAATGCTATGATACATGTATACTGATTTTATAACCTGAGACTTTGATGAATTTATTTATCAATTCTAAGAGTCTTTTGCTGTGGTGTTTAGGGTTTTCTAAATGCAGGATCATATCATCAGCAAACAGGGATAGTTTGACCTCCTCTTTTCCAATTTGGATGCCCTTTATTTCATTCTCTTGCCTAATTGCTCTAACTAGGACTTCCAATATTATATTGAGTAGAAGTGGTGACTGTGGGCACTTTTGTCTTATTCCAGTTCTTAGGGAAAATGCTTTTAATTTTCTCCAATCTTTATGATGTTGGCTATGGGTTTGTCATACATGGCTTTTATAATTTGAGGTATGTTTCTTCTATGCCTAGTTTGTTGAGGTTTTTTATCATGAAAAGGTGCTGGATTTTATCAAATGCTTTTTCTGCATCTATTGAAATGATCATATGGTCTTTGTTTTTGTTCCTATTTATATCATGAGTTTATAGTATATTCTTAAGAAGTAGAAGCAAGTTTCAAAAAAACACATATGCTTTTAAAAGTTCAATAAACAAATATGTATGTATTTGTTTTTGTGAAAACATCTTTGTGAATGCAAAGTAAAACATCTGGAATGATGCATGTCAATCTGTGTGTGTGGTCTCTATCTCCTCAGCAAAATGGGAAACTAGGTTGTTTATTGAGAATGAGAGTAGCCGTTTCAAACATTTTCCATTTGAGAAAAATGGTTCTGGCTTGAAATCATGTTGTGGGGAATAGGAAATACAGCTGACTCTACACTGCCAAACCTCACTGAAGGTTCAAAATGGTAACTGAGCCAATTGTCAAGGTCATCCTATTTTCTTCAGAAAGACTCAGTATGTGGAGGAGGAAGAAATAGTTTTCAGTTAAACACTTTCCATGATCCAGGCTGCTAAGGTGCTTCATACTAAGCCAAATAATTAAAACTTTCCAGCTCTGAGTTTACATGGATAATAATATTCCATTTTGCAGATTAGATGGTTAGGTAGTCAAAGGTCACACAATAAAAGAGGACAGAACTCCACAGTCCCTGACTAGTGAGCCTTCCAGGCTCTTTTTCCCACTTTTTGCTGGGGGGGTGGATGTTACTCTCTGGGATGATGGAGCTGCCAGATGGAAGGCGTCTGGATCTCTAGGTGACCTCATAAAAATTTTTCCAGCCCTAAACCATCTACTAGGTCAGACTTTTATAGAAGAGAAAAGCAAACTCCACTCTTATTTAAGCCCCACAATAAGATAGAAGTTTATTTTATTATCTGTTAAACGACTGTGCCAATATCCTAATCAAAACAGTTTCTAAACAGGAAGAAAGCAATTCATTAAAAACATTAAGGAGATTTAATATATAAACCTAAATAAAATGTTACTGGGCTTGACCAACTTTGTATAGAGAGGAAGAAGTATTTGCCTATTTTCAATGCTACAATTTTTTTCCTTTTAGGGTAGTTTCTCTTTGTTTAACAGCCAAATCATTTATAATTATAAATAGTATATAGTAACTACTAATTGAGTATGATACATACTACTGAGGATGGCACTAAAGAAATCATAATTTTTTATTTTTTTTTTTGAGACAGGGTCTCTCTGTCTTGCTCTGGCTATAGTCTAGCAGTGTCCTCATAGATCACAGCAACCTCAAACTTTAGGACTCCTGGGATTCTCCTTCCTCAACCTCCTAAGTAGCTGGGATTGGTCACAGCTGTACTCCACTGTGCTTGACTAATTTCATAATTTAATGGAAAATTGTCAGTTATAAGAGGGGGTAGACACTAGTAATGGTTCTATTTTCAAGTGGTTACAGTCACTGACTGGGACAAGGGCCAGTGTGCTGCTCTAGAGCAGGGCCAGTACCTCCTTCTGTTGTCACAGTTGGAGTCAGAGCTGTTGTGGTGCTGACAAGCTGTGTGGCGCTGCTGCATCCTCACACCATGACCCCTGCAATGTCCAGGACACTGGAACCAAAGCATAACACAGAGTAAATCCATAAGCTCATGCATGTTGTGCATCCTGAGATCGTGTACCGAGGGATAGCCAAAGACCAGTTACAAGGGGACCACCTGTTAGAGGATCAGAGTGCATCTCTGGGGACCAGATACCCCTCCTTTTGAGCCAAGAAGATACTTCAGCTTCCTCTCCCTTCCTTTACACCCCTGAAACTTAGACCACCTCTAGGGAGAAGGGGAAAGGACTTGGCAAATCTTGAATTGATTGGGCTTAAGTCCGGAAATGATTACACTTAAAATCATAAGTAAATGCCAAGTTTGGGTTTTCTGCTATGAGCAAAAATGAAGGGTTGAATGCTAATATGAATTTAATTATAGGAAAAATATAAAAATTTTTGACATGAAGTCTTTAATTTTTTACTTAATCATAATAATGTCTATTAATTTTTCCGTATAATTTATTTTATGCTTGAAAAAGTCTTTCCTGTAGTGATAATTCTATTTGTATTTAATTACTTAAATAGATAGTTAGCTCTTTAAACAGGTTGGAATTTATGTTGGTGCATAACCTGACTGTGGGCTTTGATTTTACTTATTTTTCTTTACATTTTAAGAAGCTTTATTGAGTTATAATTCACAAACTTTACAAATAACCATTTAATGTATATAATTTAATGGTTTTTTAGAGTTATATAATCTTTACCACAGTCAATTTTAGAATGTTATCATCATCCCCAAAAGACACCTGTACTTTTTGCAGTCACTCCTCATTCCTCCTGTTACCTCTCCCCACAGGCCTAGGTGACACTTACCTACTTTTTGCCTCTATGGATTTTATGCCTCTACCCAGCCCAGGCAGGTGGCATAAATGTGTTAGACAGTATGTGTCCTTTGCATCCATCTTCCTTCACTTCCCACAATGTTTTGAAGACTTAGCCATGTGGGGTGCTTCTCTGCACCTCACTTCATGGCCAAGTAATTCCATCGTGCAAACAAGCCACAGTTTATCTACTCATCAGTTCTTTCTTCTTTTTTCCTATCAGAGGTTATTACTATTGTGTTGTTTTGACTTTTTGGTTATTCTGAATAGTTCTGCCATGAACATTCATGTACATATTTTGTGTGGACATACAGAGTATTTTCATTTCTCTCATATTGTAAGTAGCTCTACGTCTAACATTGTGAGGAACTGTCAGATTGTCTTCCAGAATGGCTGCACCATTTTACATTTCCACCAGCAATGCATGAAGTTTCCAATTTCTCCATGTCCTCAATAATCTGTGTTGCTATGTTTTTTTTTTTTTTTTGTTAATGTCATCCTAGTAGGTGTAAAGTTGTATCTGATCACATCCCCCTCTAGACTAAGGATAAGCATCTTTTCATGTGCTTCTTGGCCATTTGTATATCTTTATTCAAGGATTATCTATTCAGATCATTTGGGATGTTTTAATTGTTTTTTTTGTGTGTGTGTTTTTGCTATTGAGTTGTAAGTATTCTTTATATGTATTTTTGGTATAAGTTCCTTTTTAATGCATAATTTTTAAGTATTTTCTCCCATTCGGTGGGTTCTCTGTTTCCTTTCTTGATAGTTTCCTTTGTAGCACAAAAGTTTATTCATTTTATTTAGACTAATCTATCTTTTCTTTTGTTCTTGCTTATGCTTTTGATGTTGTATCTAAGAAATCTTTCTTAAAGCATGAAAACTAATACCTATGCTTTCTTTCAACACTTTCATAGTTTTAGCTCCTAAATATAGGTCTTTGATCCTTTTTTTTGAGACAGAGCCTCAAGCTGTCCCCCTAGGCAGAGTGCCGTGGCATTACAGCTCACAGCAACCTCCAACTCCTGGGCTCAAGCGAGTCTCCTGCCTCCGCCCCCCAAGTAGCTGGGACCACAGGCGCCCGCCACAACGCCCGGCAATTTTTTGGTTGCAGCCGTCATTGTTGTTTGGCGGGTCCGGGCTGGAGATTCGAACCCGCCACCTTAGGTGTACGTGGCTGGCACCTTAGCCGGTTGAGCTATAGGCGCCGAGCCATTTGATCCATTTTTAAGTTAATTTTTTGGTCTATGTTATAAAGTAGTTAAAAAGTAGTTGGTTCAATTTCATTTTTTGGTGAATATCCAGTTGTCTTACACGATTTGATAAAAAGTCTATTCTTTCTCCTTTGAATGGTCTTGTCACCCTTAAAGATAGTTAATTGACACAGACATCATTATTTCTGAACTCACTTCTTCTATTTCATTGATCTCTAAGTCTATCCTGCGCCAATATCAGACTGTCTTGATCATGGTAGCTTTTTATTAAGTTTTGAAATCAGGTAGTGTGAGTCTTCTAAGTTCTTTTTCAAGATTTTTAGGGTTATTCTGAGTGCCTTCCATTTTCATGTGAATTTTAGCATCTGCTTGTCAATTTCTGCAAAGAAACCACATGAAATTTTGATAGGGATTGCATTCAATCTGTAGTTAAATTTGGGGAGTATTGCATTATTAGCAATAATGTCTTATATCTTTCCATTTATTTACATCTTCTTTAATTTCTTTAACAACTAATTTTGTGATGGGTGGAGGGAGGGTGATTGGAGGGATCACTTCTATGGTTTATCTTACAAGGGTACAAGTGAATATTTCTAAGAGTAGAATATAATTGTCTTAACACAAAAACTAAGAAAATGGCATAAAGGCTATGTTAACCAGTTTGATGAAAATATTTCAAATTGTATATGAAAACACTACACTGTACCCCATGATTGCATTAATATACACAGCTATCATTTAATAAAAAAACACGAATTTTGTAGTTTTATACCCTTTATTATTATTATTTGAGATAGGGTCTTGCTATGTTGCCCAGGTCTTGAGCTCCTGGACTCAAGTGATCCTCCCACTCAGACTCCCAATTAACTGGGACTATAGGCACACATTGTCATGCTTGGTAGTAGCCTTTATTTTGAAAAACTGTTTTTCCTCTTATGATTAACTGCCATGGAACTTTATTGCCCCTTAAACATGGGTCTGTCTCTGTGCACTAATTATACTCCTAACCTGTGTCTATTTCTGCACCAATGCTAGCTACACTGGTTTCCTCGTAACCGTTTTGTATCATGCTTTGATGTAGGATGAGGAAGGACTCTCTATATTACCACCAATCTGTTTTTATAAAAATTTCTTGTGCTTATTATCATATTGTTTCCCACATGGATGTCAGCATTATCTTAAATTCCACAAAAAAGTTCTACTGTGATTTTAATCAGATTTATATTATATACATTTATTCATTTAAAGGAATGGACATTTTTATAGTACTGAATTTTTCCATTCAGGAACATAATAGAGATTTATTATTTTATTTAGTCAGTGTTTACTTTATGTATTCAATAATTTTTCTTTATAGCTTCTACACATTATGAATAATTGTTTCCTAATTTTTATTATAATGTTATTAAAGGTAGCATTTGAGATATAGGTTCTTAGACTTCTGTGCAGAGAACATGAATGTTTTTGTCCTCCTTTTCTTGAAGGCTACTCCCATTCCTACTCCCCTAAACTCTTCTGTCTTAGAGCTTTGTTACTGTGCTACTGTATTCAAAGGGCGCGAACTTCATTCATTTCTGTTCTGGAAGACAGTGACACTATGTAAACTTTGAGGTCAAAGATATAAAATTCATTTAAAAGTCCAATCAGACATTCCCCCCCCCCCCAAAAAAAAAGTTTATTGGAAACAAGGTGATGATTCTATGGTCTACCCACTAGGTCCATCAGCTTTACCTGGTTCCCTGGTTCCCGTGGAGCACACGGATGGACAGAACATGGCTTTCTTCCCAGAGGCCGCTCTCTACGGGCACATGCTGCTGGAGACACCACCTGCACCATCCCCTCGGCTCCTGTCTGCTTGCATGTCACTTGCCGACTGTGGAATCCTTTACCGCAAGTCACAGAGCACTCTGACCACACACTTGTGAGCCACCTAGGAAGAAAAACTATAGCATGTTAGTAAGGACTGGGATGCCAGACTTTTACCAGAAGTTTTATCAAAAGAACAAGTCAATCCTAACACCATGGCAGCTTCAGCGCTGCCACATGTCTCCATGGGAATGAGCAGCACAGTAATGCCCAGCCCGATCCTCAGATTGTGTTACTCAAGTAGAAACAGTGTCACCATCTAGGGACAACCAATGTAGGAGTAAGGTGCCGTTGTCCTCAAGTTTCTGAAGAGCCATTACTTGTGTGGCCTTAGAGCATAAAGCTACGGCAAACTTAGATAGAAATTTCAAAAAGGAGGAGTTCAATTCGTTGAAACTAAGCGGAAGGAAATCCTCCTTAAGTCCGTATGTGCTGTCTGTCTACTAGACACTGATGGGTTACCTTACATAATTCCCATGGGAGGAAACTGATGTCCACGAATTAAATAACTTTGCTCTGGTCACATGACTGAGCTGCCAGGACAGCTAGGCCTGCATTCCAGATTTGCCTAACCTGAAAGTTCATGTAATTATTACAGAAGGTTGAATGTAGATCTGGATACCTTTGAGATATTGAATGTTTTGTTCCTGAAGATGTTTAAGCAGCTGCTGGGATACTAACCACCTCTGGTTATCCACAGAGACCAAGTACTTGGACGATAAAACAAATTACTTCTTTGTTGTCACTAAGATCTAACTGAATTTTAATTCCTTCAATTATAAAAACATAGGTCCCAAACTACAGTAATCTGTAATACTTGTGATTTTGTTATCAGTAGAAATCATAGGTATTTCCATATCACACTACAATTGTGGTAGGTCCTCAAAATACCATTTATATCCATTACAAAATATTCATTACATAATTATACAAAATGTTCTCTATATGTTGGCCACTTCTTTGTAAAATTTTGTAATGAATATTTTCTAAAGGTACATTTAGCTACAATTTCCCACTTTCCTTATTTATAGTGATTTTATGGGTGACCTTTGAGACACTTTGTATAAAAAATGTTTCAATATCTATATTTCAATATGATCAGTTTCTTTTGTAATCAAATGTATTTTATTTTATATATTGAAAAATATTATTCTAAGAAGGTATCCATAGGCTTTTCTAGACTACCAGAAGGGGCTATGGCATAGAAATGTTTTTTTTTGGCATAGAAATGTTAAGGACACTTGACACAGGGATCTGGGAATCTGAGGTTAGATGCTCTCTGTGGTCTCCCCCAGGTATGAAAGTGAATGACTCTGTTTATTCTAGGAGCGTGCAAAGCCTTGTGAATTTTTAAGAAACAAGTCTGCTGATAAATTTCCCAATGTGTATTCTATTTACTTTGTGAAAATCAAGAATTGACATGAAACAAGCTTTCTTGCATTTTGTTACCCCTAGTTAATTGCATATGTTTTCTGCTTTCTGAGAGTTAGCCTTAGTGTGAGATTTTCCTTTTGAGAATTGCAATGGGTACCACAGACAGTTCAGTTAGGATACACACAATATTGATACCTCTTCCAAGAACATGCCTCAGGGCAACTGTTCTGTTCTGCAGTGTGACTCTGCCTCCTACCCTCCTCCAAGGCATAGGCAGTCGGGTCTAGTGTGGGCATTTGTACAGGGCAGTGAGATGTATAATATTAAGCATTCCTCCATTTTCTCATCCATAAAATGAGGTGGATAGTAGTAGCTGCCTAATAGGTTTGCATTATGTCCTTTTAAAATTTTTTTAATGTGGATTTTGGTGCCATTTGGTCAATTATCTGCTAAAGTCTATGCTATCCAATTATTCACTGATTTCACAAATATTTATAGAGTATACATAATGAGGAAGATACTGTTCTAATGCTAGGAATAAATTGTTGAGCAAAGCAGCCATGAATTTGCTCTTATAGAACTTGTATCTAGTGGGACAGCAAGACAGACAGATTGTAACAAGAGCTATTAAATACGAATGATACAAAATATAAAAATCGTACAGCTCGGGGACTAAGGTCAGGGATGGCTTCCCTGAAAATATATTGGGTACACATAGATGAGGAGGAATAATTAAGAGAGGGGAAACAGCGTTCTAGGTACAGAGCAGTGTGTGCAAAGGCCCTGAGTCAGAAAAGGAATAGCACATATAAGAGACAAAAATGACTAGCTTGGATGGTGATCAGTTAACTCAGTCTGAGAGAGGCAAGCAAAACATGGGAAGACAGGCAGTGGAAGGCCCCAAAAGGAAGGGACTTCAATTCCTTTACTGATTTATTTTTTAGTCAGTACATATTTACTGAGCATCCACCACATCCTTGGCACTATTTTAGACACTGAGGATGAAAAGGCATACAAGATAGACATAGTCCCAGTGTAGAAATTTTGGCCTTTGTCCTAAGCAAGCATTTTAAGCAGCGGACTACCACAAGGAATTCTTTTGCAAAGATCCTTATTCTGGGGATGGAGACAAGCATTGGGAGAGATGATGATTGATGATGGTGAGGATGGCGTGGGCTCCAGGAGGGACAGTGGGAAATGATGAGAACAGATGGAAGTCAGAGGAAAAGGGAGTCTGAACTGTGGTCATAGAGATGGAGAGTACTGGGGATGGGAGATCACAGGATGTATTTTGGACATCTGTATCTTTAAAATTACAGGTCTGTATCATTTAGTACTTAGAAAAGTTATTGTTTTACCTCTCAGGGTCAAGTCTAGGGAACTGTGTGTTTTTTTTTTTTTTTTTTTTTTTTGAGACAGAGCCTCAAGCTGTCCCCCTGGGTAGAGTGCCGTGGCATTACAGCTCACAGCAACCTCCAACTCCTGGGCTCAAGCGAGTCTCCTGCCTCCGCCTCCCAAGTAGCTGGGACTACAGGCGCCTGCCACAACGCCCAGCCATTTTTTGGTTGTAGCTGTCATTGTTGTTTGGCGGGTCCAGGCTGGGGATTCGAACCCGCCACCTTAGGTGTACGTGGCTGGCGCCTTAGCTGGTTGAGCTATAGGCGCCGAGCCGGAACTGTGTGTTTTTAACTAGTGGCACTGGTGATTCTGTTCATCCGCATCATCTTCTAGGTAAACCCATGAAATCAGCCTCACTGAGATGTTGAGGAGCTATCAGCCTGTGAGTGCGAGGAGCAGACCGCTTCAGTCTGAGCTCTGGCTGCCGTTGTAACTGGGTGGCTTAGGGAGCTTCCCCATCTGTAAAAGGGGAGATTAGCAACATCTCCCTTATAGATGATGGAAAGTAATCCATATAAAACACTTAGCAGGATGCCCAGTACAGAGTAAATTTTAGCTATTGAATCATTATGTCCAAATTACTGTGTCTTTTAAAACAAGCAAAACTTGGTACTGATGAGACAAGAGTGACTTCATGGTACCTTGCAGGGCAGTCCTGGATGTTACAAGGCTGAAACCCAGCCAGTGGCTTCTGGAGGTGATCACACATGGTCTCACTCACTTCCTGCCCATTGGCCATCACACAGCGGGGTCTCTGAATGCGGACTCCCAAGTGTCCACAGGTGGCAGAACAATGTGACCAGTTACCAGGCTCCCAAACAGGTTCTGCAGAAAGAAAATGAAATGTCATGACAGCCACAAATGAGAAATGACCACGGGCTGGAGAGGACATGTCCGGAGATCCCCATGGCCTATTTCCTGGGTGGCTGCTTGTCTGGGTCTTCAAGCAGCACATGGAGAGAAAGCTGTCTCACAGTGCAAGGAGGTCCCTTAAAGCTTACTTTCCTTAATTCACTTAATGTAGAAACTGGCAGGAATGGCAGCCAGAATGGGGTCCTTGGACCACAGCCTGGGAAAGGGGCTGTCATAGGCCAGCTGGATCTGCTAGAAATACCCCAGAGAGAGGGAGGAGGCGCTCTGAGTAGGCTGTCTCCTTAGGATTCTTTAGGCAGAGCCGAGAGGACATGAGAGGTGGGCCTCTACATGGGGTGTCCTACTGGGTTTGAGTTCTCAAAAGTGAATCAGGCCGAGAAATGAAAGATGATTTAGCAGGAGAAACAAGGGCCAGGGATTAAGCAGTAAGTTTAAAGATGCATTGAGTTCCATTCCTATTTTTCCATTAATTCTTAATTGAAACTTCAGATTTGTCCTGAAACTGCTTAAATAATTTGTCATGGAGACATCTGGAAGGTAAAAATAGGAGTTTCCTTTAGAAAAGTAGAAGCTGACCACCTCCAGGAATCCCAGCTTTTTTATTTTAGTGCTTATTCCAAACAGCCTTTCTTTCCCCTGCTGACGCTTGGTAAAAGATGAGGTAGGACACGATGATGACAGATTTGTGTATGATCACAGAAGGTGCCAGGTTTTCCTGTAATAATCACAAGTAATTGATAGCTACCAGCTGTGTCCACAGGCCCTCTCACACAGCAGAGCGGTTTCTTTCACTTATTGTTTTCCAGTTTTGCCTTCTGATTTTTGAATTTTTGTCTTAAATTGTACATGGCATCATTTGCAAAGCAGAAACATAAAATATGTTTTAAGTTATATTTTACTTATAGCTTTAGTTATGTGCAAGCAAGGACCTTCAAGTTGCAGTTTATTTTAAAATAATTTTTTTAAATAGTGAAGTTTACTGAGAACCTCCCAGATGACAGGTATTGGGTCAGACACTTTGTAATCCATTTTTCACTTAATCTTTATGGTCATCTTGTGAAGTAGATATTTTTATTTGCAGAGTTGGCAGCTGAATGAAGCTAAGTAACGTGCCCAGTGTCCATCACCTGTTAGCTGGACTGGAACCCAAGTATGTCTGACTCCACATCTCTTTCTATGGTGCCACATGTCATGAACACACCTTGACAATTCAAGGCAGGACATATGTTCATTTCTTTAAAAACGTGTTTTTACTGAGGCATAATTCATATTCAATAAAATGCTTAGCTCCTCTCAGGTGCAGAGTTTTATGAGTGTTCCCAATTACTTGCATAACCATGATCCAAGGAGAGGTTAGCAATATTTCCATCACCCTACACCCCTCCCAGGTAACCACTTCTTCATGTCTACCAGTAAACATCAGTGTTGCCTGTTCCTGGCTTCTGAGCTGTATATGCTTTTTCATTAGGCTTCTTTTGCCTGGCATAGTGTTTTTGCGATTCACTCACATCACAGTGAATATCAGTAGTCATCTCTTTTGTAGGTGAAGAATATTTGCTTGTATGACATTTTTTTCTTTTTGGCCGGGGCTGGGTTTAAACCTGCCACCTCCAGTATATTGGGCCGGTGCCCTACTCCTTTGAGGTACAGGTGCCGCCCTACATCCCAGTTTTTTATCTGTTCTCCCATTGAGGGCCATTATGAATATTCTTGTACAAAGAATTTTGTGAACAAGTTTTTTATTTTTTCCCAGGTAAATACTTGTGTGTGGCATTGCTGGGTCAAGGGCAGGTATATGCTGAACTTTATTAGAAACTGTCAAGAAGTTTTCCAAAGTGTTTTTTACCATTTTACACATTAAGCCAGGTGTGAGGGACCTACTTGCATGGGTGGTCTTGCTCTTAGCTATTCTACTGGCTGTGCGATTCTATCTCATTGAGGTTTAACTTCATTTCCTTGATGCTATCTATATATCTTCTTTTGAGAAGTGTCTTCTCAAGTCTTTTGCCCCGTGTGTGTGTGTGTGTGTGTGTGAGTGTGTGTGGGAGTAGGATGTTCACTATGAATTTGTATAAGTTATTATATTTTTTAGATATAAGCTCTCCATCAAACATACTCTGCCAAAATTTCTACCAGCTATGGCCCATCTATTTCATATTCTTAATGGTGTCTTTAATGGACAGATCTTTAAGATTTTGATGGAGTCCAATTTGATAATTTTTTTGTTGTATGTTAAGTATTTTTGACAGAAATGCCTTTGAAAAGTAGATCGTATCACATCACTCCCATATAAGACTCCTCAATGGCCTCCCCTGTTTTAGGAATGAACTCTTGAGCCTTTACCTTGGTCCTCAAATCTCTGAATGATTTGGTCCTCAGCAACTCTCCAACCTCATCTCAAGTTCTTCTCCCCACACCCACTGCACTTGTCCCATGAACCTTATCTGTCCTTCCACTGTGTGGAGCTAATTCTCATTTTGTGGTCTTTGCACTTACTATTCCCTTTGTCCAAAAGGTTCCTTCTTCCCCTTTCTACACGAATGGTTCCATCTCATCCTCCAGGTCTGGGATCAAACATCACCTCCTCAGAAGGCGTACGCTGAGGTGGGCCATAGAATTGGCTACCTCCAATGACTATGTATTTCATCGTACTTACCACAGAGAAATAGCTTACATAATTATCTTATATTTACTTGGCTATTGTCAATATCACCTAATAGAATGTCAGAATGTCAAGTCCATAAACACTGTCCTGTTCAACACTAGGACAGAGAACGGAAAATATTAGTTATTCAGCCAATATTTGTCAAATTAATAAGTATTTTTGAAATGTTAAGCTAAGGTCCATTGAAAGGTTGGCACAGTTCACAGTGTGTGAGCATGTCTTTACACATGTATGTGTGCATCTGTAGGAGGTGGCTGAACAATGTAGGTAGTTCTAATAAACCAAGAGTTTGGGGCAGTGCCCGTGGCTCAAAGGAGTAGGGCACCAACCCCATAGGCCGGAGGTGGAGGGTTCAAACCCAGCCCCAGCCAAAAACTGCAAAAATAAAATAAAATAAAATAAACAAGAGTTTGACTATTCCAAAGACTCTACCTTCAACAGTAGCGTCAGCCTCACATATATGCAACTCTTTCATCAATTGATTTGAGGGAATTCTTTTGATCTTGGTGTTCTATGCCACTTGGAACTTGTCTGTGCCTTTGCACAGCCTTGCTTTTCTGACTACAATGTCCTTCTTCCTCTTCTCAGAATAAACATCATGACTAACATGAAAGCTTAGTTGACTTCTCCAGAGCGACACAGAGCCTCTTCCTTGGTGCTACCATCCAATCCAATTTTGGTCCTCTTTCTCTGCGGGCACTTGTCACACTGCTTCAGAGCATCTGTTTACACACAGCTGCCTCCCTCTTCAGATGAGTGCTTCTCAAAGACTAGGTCATCCCTGCATCTCTGGTCCTCAGAAGAGCTAAGCACTGTGCAAATATTTGTTGAATGTCCAATGAATGGATAATTATGCATGGAATAATAGGAGGAGTATGTCTAAAAGAGGAGGAAAGTATAACACGTAAATACCCCCAAGATATTGTGTTAGGAATAACGTGTGAGGGATCACTGATTGGCAGTTCAACATTGTCTTCTGCTTCTGTGTTCTCGCTTGCATCTCAGGAGGTAGAAGCCTAGAAGCTCATTTTCCAGATTCTCCACCTGTGTGTTATATTCTGCATAATATATCATGCAAAGGAGAGGCAAGATTTAAAGGGTAGAAATGACGCAGCCATTATTATTCTGTGTAATGGATAAAACATCAGGTTTAATAGTAGTTTGTGTTCTTCTGTGATTTACCCACTTTTGAACTACAAAGAGCTAAGAGCATCAGTGATGATTTCCTATGATTCTAGCATTTTGACTTTTTAAATTCTATCTTGCCACCTTAGCCTTCTGAAGACTTTTGCTTGTAATACTTAGATTAGGTTCTCTTGATTAAGCAATGACATATAACAAAGTTGGTATGTATGGAAAAATCATTTTTGTGAAAAGAGAACAATGAAAGACTCAATCCCAGTGCTCTTAGCAAACATTCCTTCTATTGATATTCACCAATTTGGCAGTAGTTTTGAAACTGGAAAATCAATATCTACATTATTATAAATAATGATCCATATTTGGGATATGAACTATATAGGCTGCCGCAGGAGTGGATTTTTCTACAAAATTCCTTCAATGTGGAAAGAATAAATTGAACCACCAAAGACTGAGGGATAAGAAAAAGGTTGGCCAAATGCCTAGGAATGATTTTCCACATTGCCAAGTGAAAAACATGTGGGGTCTTTTAGCTAATTCCTTATCCTTCCACATGCCTCACAAACAGCAAATCCCAAAGAAGTCAAAATCCCAGACCTTGAAGCAGGGGTTCTCCTGTTGGGCCATTGCTGTTGGTTCCACTATTGGATGCCTTGAGAACAGACTGTTTATGTCCCTTGGGAAATGCAGTTTTACTCTCTGGCCATCTTCGTTCTGAGAGGACACAAAAAAGTAATACTTTTTACCAGTTAGAAATGATCTAATTCTTGTTTCAGCGTGGGTGTTCTTATAGACAGCTACTAGGAAATCAGTGCTTTGTAATAACATCCGTGCCCCTGGATGCTGAGGCTCACGTGGGTCTGGGAGTGGAGTGAGCATACCATGTGGGGGGATAGGAGTTCAGCTAGAGACATTCACTCGGCTAATATGTGGCACCGGAATTCCAGATGGGGCTGGAGGAAACAGACTGGCTGGCTAGAGGGGCTTTGGGAGAATGTTCCCCAGGGGACCTCACAGGGTAAGGAGTGCAGGGTTTTAGGAAGGTTGTGGAGCTTCAGCATAAGAGGAGGGTTGTGAAGCTTCAGCATAAGAATTCCATGTTGCGAATTTTTCTCAGTCAAATTAGGAATGCTGTGACCTGGTCCCTCAGCCAAGTTACCAAAGTCATGAGCTTCTAGGCTTGAGGGGATTCCTAAAAGAAACGCTGTGCAGGGCAGGGATGAGACAGCCAGGCAGAGCCATCAGTGGAGATGGACAGAAGCAAGGAGCAGGCTGGGACTCTTCAGAGATCAGGGAGAAGTCCCTGAAGAATCTATCAGGATTAGCCCTGCCCATCTACTGAAACTCTTCTGTTCCGAGATTTCAGAAGATCACTGCTGTGCTTAGGGAAGCGTCACTTGGAGCTTGTCACTGCCTCTCTGATCAGTACTGAGAACCCCCGACAGGCCGTGTGAAGGGCCCTGGGAGAGCAGAGCACATGCCTGAGCATGAGTCCACATGCCCTGTGAGCCTCAAGGTTCTTCATAAATGCAGTAAGATTAAAAATTACTGTTCACAACATGGTACTGCTGTAAATATCACTACAATCAGTGGTGGTGTATGGCAGCTAACCCAGCCCTACACAGCACTGCCCATCACTACATCTCTAGGCCCCTTTAACTACCAACAAGGAAAGCCACAAAGGACACTCATTCACATCCTCTCCTCTCCTCTTGGTTCACCACAGATTCTATTAGTTTTGCTGGTGATTCAATTTCATTCATTCATAAGACATGTATTTAATGTACTTGTGTTAGGTGCTGGGGATACAGAGGGGAATAAAAAAAGATCTCTGACTGATTTCTGTGACTAACTCTCAAACTTTTGTAAACTCTAGTGGAAAACTTATTGAGTCTGAAAACCCCAGTAACTTGAAGCTTACTTTAGTGGCAAGAGCTTGACAAGATATTAACCACAGTAGACAGAAGTTAGCTTCTCATCCTGTGCTGGGGGCACCTTGCAATGACCTTCTCCAAATTGCAATACTGACCCAACTGCACAACAGTATTTTAAGAGTGATAAGCTGGTATTCTTGGGGTTCCTTCTGTGTACCTCACACTCTATTCTCTTCTTAAGACATGGTCCCTACCATTGAGGGACCTCCAACTTTACTGAGGAAACAGAAATAAAAGAAGAAAGCATTTCAGAGCAATGCACAGGAGGACTCAATCAGGCACCAAGTAGTGAGAGCAAAGAAAGGAGAGGGTCGACAAGATTTGAGAAGGATGCACACAAAGAGGAGGGACTCAGCTGGTTCCACAGGATAATGGCAATTTGGGCCATGCAGGGAAAACAGTGAAGGACATTCCTTTCTAGGAGAGCAAGGAGGGAGGAGCATGATGTGTGTAACTATTCTGGCTAGAACATACCTCAGTGCTAGCTAAGAATAGGGCTCAGAGGAAGAGCAAATATAGAGGAAGAACATGAAGGGTCTTAGTTTGGGCCAGAAAAGTTTAATAGTATAAGTTCTTATGCAGAGGAGTAGCATTAAAAATGTCACAGCTTCTGAGAGAAGAACTGGTTAAGACAGGCTGATAGAATTTAGTGCTTCTTTTTAAAGAGGAAAGGGTAGTTATGGTTCAAACCATCTAATGTCTATCTTATTCATGCCTTGACCCCAGAATCAACAAAACCAAGCCCTACTTTGTACACACTATAGGGGTACTTAATGAACAATAAGAATCTGACACTCACCCAGCAAGTGGAGCACAGATGCTGCCACTGCCTTTCCAAGAGCATTGGTGGCTGTGCAGATGTAGGTGCCTTCATTTTCAAGGGAAACATTCTGCAACAACAGGGATCCATTGAAAAGCAAGGAAACACTGTCACTCAGAGATCCTCCTTTCTTCAACCAAGTTATATTAGGCTGAGGGGCACCTTGGGAACAACAACAAAAAAATATGACAAAGGCAATTCCTTTAACAACAGGGCCACAGAATCATGTTACAAATACCATTTAGTGTTTTGACCACAAACCAGCAAATCATTTAATTGTACAAAATTTAAAAAATGGCAATTTCTCTTTCAGTAGTTCCTCTACAGTGGGAAGGGAGATCTTGTCAAAGCAAAGTGCTTTGGTCTACTGAGTACCTGACTGATTTGCATCTATAAGCTAAGGTACCAGAAGGGCTGAGGATAGGGGGGCTGCACTGTACTGGGGAGGGAGGCATCTTGAAGTTGGACAAGGTGAAGGGTTGGGAGGAAGGAGTGGGTAGAGCTAGGGCAGCGGTTCTCAACCTATGGGTCATGACCCCTTTGTAACAATGAAAATACATCCTACATATCAGATATTTACATTATGATTCCTAACAGTAGCAAAATTACAGTTATGAAGTAGCAACAAAAATAATTTTATGGTTGGGGGTTCACAACAGGAACCATATTAACAGGTCACGGCATTAGGAGGCGTTAGGAAGGTTGAGAACCACTGACCTAGGGGGAGTGAAGGCAGAGTCAGAGAGAGAAATTCCCACTTATGAGAAGTCTTATGAGGAAGACTTCCAACAATAAAAATACCTAATATAGATCTTTAAGCTGTTTGACGTGCATATGCAGTGAAACATTCCTCCTTTCATAGGAATATGATGCTTGTCAACTAAGTTTGCAAACTTGCCACTATGCACTTGCATTGGCAGCACTGTACAAACAACTCAGTAAGATTACATAACCTTGGTATATCAGTGATATCAGTGTCCCACAGCTATGTACATGGCAATGTGTGGTGGTATCTTGCTGAGTGGCATTCTTTATTGTTGTTGTACGTTTTTGTGTGCTATTTTTTTTTTTTTTGAGACAGAGCCTCAAGCTGTCCCCCTGGGCAGAGTGCCGTGGCATCACAGCTCACAGCAACCTCCAACTCCTGGGCTCATGCAAGTCTCCTGCCTCCGCCTCCCAAGTAGGGACTACAGGTGCCCGCCACAACGCCTGGCCATTTTTTTGGTTGCAGCCATCATTGTTGTTTGGCGGGCCTGGGCTGGGGATTCGAACCTGCCACCTTAGGTGTATGTGGCTGGCGCCTTAGCCGCTTGAGCCACAGGTGCCGAGCCTTTGTGTGCTATTTTGAGAATGTCAGAGCTTGAATTAGAGCAATGAACATTCATAAATTTCTTGTTAAATTTGGCAAGAGTGGAAGTAAAATCAGTGATGTGTTAGTCCAGGTTTATGGGGATAATGCCATGAAGAAAATGGCAGTGTACAAATACATTAAATGTTTTTCTGAGGGGAAAAAAGCATCACTGATGAAAAGAGGTCAGGGTGGCCAGTAATGAGCAGAACTGAAGAAATCATTGTAAAAATCAATTGAATTCCACATTAAAATTGTCAGCTGACTGTGAGAAGCATAGCAGACCAAGTAAACACCAATAGAGAAACAGTTTGGAGAATCTTAACTGAAAATCTTAGCTAACAACTTATGGCTCTTGCATCATGACAATGCACTAGCTCACATGACACTGTCTATGAGGGAGTTTTTAGTCAGTAAAAAAATAACTGTATTAGAACACTATCCTTAATCACCTGACCCGGCCCCCAACGACTTTTTTCTTTACCTAAAGATAAAATATATATTGAAAAGAAGACATTTTGATGACATTCAGGACATTAAGGGTAATATGACAGCTCTGATGGCCATTCCAGAACAAGGGTCCCAAAATTGTTCGACGAGTGGACTGGGGGCTGGCATGAGTGCATAGCTTCCCAAGGGGAGTACTTCAAATATTACTATAGTGATATTCAGCAATGGGGTGTAGCACTTTTTCTAGGATGAGTTTGTGAACTTAATTGTCAGACTTGTATACAGTCTTTAGGGAAACAGATTTTGCTCATTGATGCTTTTGTAAGAGAGGATAATTTTGATGATCCAGTAAAGGTGATATAAAGTTTTTTTATAAAACGGACAATTTCAGGGAACAGGGAAGTGCTGGGTTTCAGGTCTGGATCAATGCAGTGAGGTGCACAGGCTGTAAGCATCATTGCAAGGGCCTGGGCACAGAGGTGAGCACAAAGAATAGGAAGACCTTCTTTCCCCAGATCTTGGAAATCTTAGCATCTTGCTGGGCTGTGCAATTTGAGACTCAAGGGACTCTCATTTTCTTCTTAAGAGTTGAGGCAGCTTCAGATAATGCCTCAAGTGACTGGTTTTGGGGATTCTTTCTCATCCTGCAGTCCTCTGGCTGGAGAGAATATGGAAGACACTGCATGGCTTTCTGACAAAAGTCACTACTATTATCCTGTCATGTGAAACACCTTGAAGTAGGCAGAGTGCATGCAACAACATGGTGACACTTCCACTCTCACAGCTATTCCTCCTCCCTGTGAGGCAGTCACCATTCTCTCTGTCTTGCAGCTGAGGAAGCTGGTAAGCCTCTAACTTCAGGTCAAGTTTTTCTGTCCACTACACCAAGCTGGTTACTCAAGTCTCTTAGGGCCATTACTGTGTGGCTTTAGAGAAAACAGTCTACCTAGAAATGCTTAAATTTACTTGTAGGAGCCAAAGCCTGATGTTGGCCCAGAAGTACTGCCTGAAAACTCGAGGTAAGAAGAAAATTCAACTCCTACTCTAAGAGGGAGAGGAACTACATAGTAAGAAAAAATCACTGTCTTGGGGTGGGGAGAAGGCTTTGTTCTCATTCTTAATATTTATTAGTCCACCAGTCTTGAATAAGGAATTTGGGTTTCAACTGTCTCATCTGTGAAAGAAATCTGAACTAAGAATAGGAACTCCATCATGTTCAGATGTAATCTTTGAGGTTTTTAGAACCTGAGTCTGAGATGGTTGCCCTTGGGGCTTTTTGTCCTTAATTTTGTGGCTTTATTTGATCTGAGTATAGTAAGCAGAATTCTAATGATGCCTCCCTAAGCTTCTTGCCCTTTGGTTACTCAATCTATGGGAAAGGGATTATTGCAGATGTAATTAAGGTTACTTATCAGCTGACATTAAAATGAGGAGACTCTCTGGGTGGGCCCAATGGAATCTTGTGTGTTCTTAAAATCAGAAGAGGGCTCGGCGCCTATAGCTCAACCGGCTAAGGCGCCAGCCACGTACACCTAGGGTGGTGGGTTCGAATCCCCAGCCCGGACCCGCCAAACAACAATGACGGCTGCAACCAAAAAATAGCCGGGCGTTGTGGCGGGCGCCTGTGGTCCCAGCTACTTGGGAGGCAGAGGCAGGAGACTCGCTTGAGCCCAGGAGTTGGAGGTTGCTGTGAGCTGTAATGCCACGGCACTCTACCCAGGGGGACAGCTTGAGGCTCTGTCTCAAAAAAAAAAAAAAAAAAAAAAAATCAGAAGAGGAGGGCAGAAGAAATGGTCAGAGAAATAGTGGAGAAAGAGAAAATAAGAGACATAAGATAGGAGAGAATATAGGAGAGATATGAGAGGGACATGATCTACCATTGCTAATTCTGAAGATAAAAGGAGCCAGGAGCCAGGGAATGCAGGTGGTGTCTAGCTGACCACTATCAAGGAAGTGGGAACTTCTGTCCTCCAATGACGGGGGCTGAATTCAGCCAAAAACCTAAGGAGGCTGGGAGCAGATGTATCCCGAGGGTCTCCCAAAACTGCGCACAGCCCACTCACACCTTGATCTCAGCCTTTCATACTCTTAAGTAGAACACTCAGCTCAGCCCCACTGTCCTGACACTGAGCTACAAACTGTGAGATAATAAAGGGATGTTATTTTAATCCTCTAAGTTTGTGGAAATTTGTTATAATAGCAATAAAAAACTAATACAGTGAGAGATTCAGTTTAAATTTTGTTATGTCAACTAGGCTGGCCCTAAATAGCCAGAGGGATACTAGTCACATGTGCATATACCTGTTTAGTCTTTTCTTCTACAAATACATACATACAGGTTAAGATTTCCTAAGTCCCAGCTATCCAGCTATTAAATACTGGGGCTTAGATTGACACTGATGCGGTTTGGTCCAGAGCCTGTCTTAACAACACATAGGTAGATCTTATACATTTCTTAATACATTTATTTCTAAGCAACTCATTTTTTTTGTTGTCGTAATAAGCAAGAGTTTTAAAAATAAATTTTGTAGTAGTGTATTGCTAACACTTGGTAAAGATATAAGCATTTGCATACTCACCTTGTAACTTGCTAAACTTTATTATTTTGAATAGTTTTCAATTGCTTTTCTTTTTTAAAAGTAAGTAATTATATCATTTGTACATAATGCCAATTTTATCTCTTCCTCTCCAGTATACATAATTCTGATTTCTTTTTTCTTATCTGATCATATTAGTATCTCCAGAACAATGCTGAATGATAACAGCTATAGTAGGTGCTACAGACTGAATATTTGTGTTTCCCCAAATTTTAGATGTTCAAAGCTAGTTCGATGTTATTTGAAGGAGAGACCTCTGGGAGGTGGTTAGGCAGAGCCCTCATAAATGGGATTAGTGACCTTCTTAAAGAAACCACAGACATCTTCTGGGTCCTTCCAGCATGTGAGGACTCAGGTCATCGTCCACCAGCCAGGAAGGTGGTCTGACTGGTCACTGAATCTGTGGTGCCTTGACCTTGGATGTCCCAGCCTCTAGAACTGTGAGAAATAAGTTTTTGTTGCTTTCCAGACCACCAATCTATGGTATTTTTATGATGGCAGCCCTGAAGGTCTAAGATGAAAGGCGTATTTGTCTCATTTCCAACTTTACTGGGAATATTACTAATGTTTTCCCTTTAAGCATGATGTTTTCCTTTGGTTTCTAGCTTATAAGAAAATCTCTCCATCTTTGAGTTGAATAATTTGTTTATTTTAAAGTAAAATATTTTAAGCTATTAATTTTCTTCTGAGTATAGCTTTAACTACCTATGTTGTGTTTTGAAATGTATACCACCATTGCCATTATTTCATTCATTCAAAAATGTTTC